TCATCGTCATACTGGGTATCTTCTAGCGTATAGTGAATCTTCACTATACGCTTCATGACGGTTACGGATGCGCCTGTCGCAAGACGTACCGTCATCCTCGTAGGAGGTGTGTCACATTCACTGTAATTGAAGTGACCATCTTCTAGCGATTGGCGTCGCACAAAATTGTTGGACGCCCCACAATCGACTAGAGCTCGAAGGGACAACTTATTCGTCACTTCGAGTTTCAAGGTAATGAGTGAGTCCTCATTATCTAGAGCAGCAACGCACAACGTTTGTGCGTTGGGAGCAACCTTCATCAAGAGGCCTACAAATTCTCTTGACGTTGCTGGACCAGTAGGGTGCTCCGCACCTACTGATCCTGACCGTTTTTTGACGGTCCATCCCTTTGTTGCGTCTTTGCACCAACAACGGACCCGCGTCCCTGCCCCTTTCTCATGGGTGGACGGTCACTACGACCAGTGTCGCGAGACACTGGACGAGGGGCACTACACTCGTAAGCGTAGTGTCCTGTCTTCTGACATCTGTTGCATTTCTGCAAATTCTTGTAGTCTGTAGAGCGAGCCTTCTCGCTCTCTACATAGCAGAGTTCCATCGGCTCTGGACCTCCGTTGTCATATCGTCTCGGTTGACGATATGATGTCGAGCTGGCGCGAGCCTGTCTCAGACTGAAGTCTTCCTGTTCCGCAATGGAAATGGCTTGTTCTAGTGAATCTAGTTCAAGCCGGAACAGGTGAGTCTTGACGGGACCATCCGCAAGACCCTGCATGAACACCGAAACCAACGTGTGTTCATCAACCGGATTGGAACTTATACAACTCGTGAGATGTCGTATATGTTGCGCGTAAGCGTGCACATCACGCTTACCCTGCTTGAGCTTCAAGAGTTCGGTTCGAGCTCTGAACTCAGCTCTATGCGGTTCAAACGTTTGTCTGAGCCGCGACTTGAAGACTTCCAACGACCCAAACGCATATGGGTCGTGCAACTTGAGCCCCAGTGCCCAAGTCTTGGCACGTCCTGCCAGATTTGACTGGGCAAATGCAACTTGCATTTCCCCATCGTCGATGCGACGCGCCCTTATGGCGTCATCCAATTCGATGAACCATCTCAAGAGGGAGTCCTCTTCGACTCCCCTATACTTGGAGATGTCAATCTTCAAGGTCTCGGGTCGACGCGAGTGCATCGACCCACCAGCAGCAGCCTGCTGCTGTCTCAACAGTTCAAACTGTTGAGCACCCTGTTCTCTCAACAACTCTGCTTGTTGAGAACCTTGTTGGTGAAGCAAGGCTACTTTCTCGCGTTCAGCGTCAAGTTCATTTTGAATGAACTTGGCGATAGTAGCATGTTGGGCACCTCTATCGAGAGCCTCCAGCATGACGCTAACAGCATGGATGCCCATGGTTGAACCCATACGTTCAACCGCATCCCATTCGACATTGCTCAAATGGGAGTAGCCGTCACGCGTAGCGTGAAAGCTTTGGTCATCTTTCATCATCCAACATATTCATGTTGGATGTGAACGTGGTCCTTGGACGGACTACGAAGTGCTACCAGGTGTAACGGGGCACCCTGAAGCTTGTACTGATGACAGTACAAGCTACTTATTCTGATGACAGAATAAGGCGGTGCCTCGTGACTTCACGTACACTCGTACGTGCAGAGGAAGACGGTAAGAAGAAGCGAGTACTCGGTTAAAGTAAAAAGTAGAACTGTATTTATAATAGTTAATGTCTGCAATAAATCACTATTTATCTTCATCTAACTATGTCTAAATACAAATGTGTAAATCAGTTATCTGCTCACCACTCATTGCGTGCGTCTGTCGTGGCGCGTCTTCGTTGGTTGATATAATGGCCTATATCAACCAATTAGGAACTACTCGTAAGTGCTACAGAATATTTGTCCTTATGATAATATTCTGAGAATTAAACTCTTATAGTTATATTCTATTAACAATTTCGTATAAATTGTTATGTAACGATTCACCCCGTTACAGGATACGCTTTGTTTGGGGTGCCACGAAATTTCACGTGCACTCGTACGTGTAACGTGGCACCCTCAAGCTTGTACTGATGACAGTACAAGCTGCTCATTCTGATAACAGAATGAGGCGGTGCCGCGTAACTTCACGTACACTGGTGCGTGCAGAGGAAGACGGTAAGAAGGAGCGAGTACTTGGTTAAAGTAAAAAGTAGAACTTAATTTACAATAATTAATGTCTGTTAAAAAACCACTATTTATCCTAATCTAACTATGTCTAAATACAAATGTGTAAATCAGTTATCTGCTCACCACTCATTGCGTGCGTCTGTCGTGGCGCGTCTTCGTTGGTTGATATAATGGCCTATATCAACCAATTAGGAACTACTCGTAAGTGCTACAGAATATTTGTCCTTATGATAATATTCTGAGAATATAACTCTTATAGTTATATTCTATTAACAATTTCGTATAAATTGTTAATAGAAACGATTCACCCCGTTACAGGATACGCTTTGTTTGGGGTGCCACGAAACTTCACGTACACTCGTACGTGTAACGTGGCACCCTCAAGCTTGTACTGATGACAGTACAAGCTGCTCATTCTGATAACAGAATGAGGCGGTGCCGCGTAACTTCACGTACACTGGTGCGTGCAGAGGAAGACGGTAAGAAGGAGCGAGTACTTGGTTAAAGTAAAAAGTAGAACTTAATTTACAATAATTAATGTCTGTTAAAAAACCACTATTTATCCTAATCTAACTATGTCTAAATACAAATGTGTAAATCAGTTATCTGCTCACCACTCATTGCGTGCGTCTGTCGTGGCGCGTCTTCGTTGGTTGATATAATGGCCTATATCAACCAATTAGGAACTACTCGTAAGTGCTGCAGAATTTTGTCCTTATGACAATATTCTGAGAATTAAACTCTTATAGTTATATTCTATTAACAATTTCTTATAAATTGTTATGTAACGGTTCACCCCGTTACAGTACGTGCAGAGAAAGCTAATCTACTTAAACAGCTGGTCTGAGTAAAAGGTAAAAAGAGAACTTTATTTAAAAAAGTTAAGCTATCAATATAACTCCAGTCTTTATCTGACTGTATCAATCGACATTACCGTATGACGACAACCTGCCCCCCACTCAGTACGCGTGTCTAGCAGCGATTGGTGGTAACCTTGGTTAATATGTCTTAATTAACCAATCTTTGAGCAGCGCGTGAATATTATCCTAAAAGGGGATAATACTCCTTCAACGCTATCCATCTCGGGTAGTATTGGTAAGAGATTGTCGCGCAAGACAATATCCCTATTGACACCGTTTGAAGTCAATATCGTGTAACGGGCTACCCCGTTACATCACCCCTCTCCTTAACCATCAATCACCCGTTGATTGAATTTAGCTGATTAGGAAAGGGTGACCACCGTTGGATGACTCTGGGAAGGGGAGCACTTGTTGGTTAAATTCCAACTCATTTGCCAATTCATCGCATGGTGTCAAAGTCCATGCTATGTGCTGCCGAAGCAGCAAGAAAAGCGGTTGCACGCATGCGTGCAGCCGAAGAAAGTTCTTCTCTTGCTTCAGCAGCAGGTGATCCTTCGCCTGCTGTTGCGATTCAGCAACGGGCATTGCCTGTTGTGAATAGTCCTTGTGGTGTGTCTCCACGTGCGACAGATTCATCCGCTGCGTCTGCAGCGGATACTACGACTTGAAATGCATATGAGCCTGGAATTGATCTCATTTATTAAGGCGAGTCGGATGATGCATCCGACTCAAAGGCGACACCTGACGCCTCCGGGTCATTCGGGGCGGACACTGCACGATCCAGGTTGACTGGCTCTAAGGAACGTGGTGGCATCATGTCCGATATCTTCGGACCGAGCAATTGGTCAAACGTTTTCTCGTCTCACGCAAGTCTATCTGACAACAGTAAGCATGTGATGGTGGTGACGAACCTGACCGTCACCACGACAGAAACAACTCGAGGGATCGAGCTGCATCTAGCGTCAGTGCTCATGATGACACCATTCAAACTAGGGACCGCAATGTCCTCCGCCACTCTCCCTAAGTGTAACATCCTTGGTAGCCATCATCCAAGGCGTCAGATCGATTTGCCGGAATGACCACCGAACGGGATCGAATCCCGTTGTTCGACTGTAGGAGGATCTGTCCTCCTAATTCCAGCACGTACAATATCCGTGCTGTGAAAAAGCTCTTCACTGATGTGTTTTTTAGCATTGGTGGTACTATGGCAACCGTGGTCGAGACGGTAAGGCCTTGGTGCAAGGATGGAATGCCTTCATTCATAACATCAAGTGCATTGTTCGTGTGGCTCAATAAACTTGGTGCAGCTTGTATCAGGTTTAAAAAGCGTAACACAGTCGGTGTACGACACAAGTTACACCGACTGCCAAGAGAGGCAGGATTACCCTGTCTTCCGTGGAGTGATTCGTGTCCAGGTTGACTGGACAACTCGACCCGTGCCCCTAGAGAGGCCTACCTCCATAGTGTTCCCTACTGGAGGGCGCGCATTTCTTCTGAGATAGCCGAAGGGATTAAAATTTTGCAATCCCTGTACTCGCGTTTGAGGAGGTCGTTTTCCGACGGCCCTTCTCCGAAAGCAGCGGGTGGGTCTCGTCATACTGCTCGACGAGACCAAGGACATCGACAATCAGCTGGGCACAAGGCTCCCAGCTGTCCCAGGCCGGTGAAAAGCCAAGATAGCGGACGAGGTAACTCTTCCGGACGCCATTCACATCGCGCTAATTAAAAATACGCTCCACCAGAAAGCGTTGACCACTGCCAGAATCCATTAAAGGATGTGGTGCTGGTGGGAACACCTGATCCACTCGAGGGCCGGATTAGCTTGATGTTCAGGAACTGAAGCGCCTAACGGACAGTTACACAATGACCTGGCTCATGAACGGACTCGACGTTATGAGCTCCATGACCTTGTAAAGGATAATTGCAATATCTTGGTGCACGATCGTTCGAATGATCGTGCCGCGTTTGCGTTCACGCAACTTGAGAATGAACGTTCGATTCACTCTCTTCGTGACGAGCTGCAGTCAGCTCGTCACGACATCGCTCAACTGCGTGAGCAGGTCGCTTCGCTAGTCGACTCGACTGGATCGTTGAAACGGGACTACTCGAAGGTGGTCTCGGCCCTTGACCGCGGATGTGTTCTTCGCCTCTCGAAACGGACACGTACTGATAATTTGGGCGGAGACGTCCAACGTAAAACAAAGGATGCGTACGCATCATACAAAGCAGTTCAATCGTGTATGCGTTGCCCATTCGGCGTAACACAAGAAATGGACCGATATAGTTCGGCAGTAGTATACTGCTACCCACGTTTTCCACTGCGTGTTTTGGTAAATTTACTGTGGTCAATAAAACTAAGTCTCCTTTAATATATGTAAAAACATTCGCTCTTCCATGTTCGTCTGCGTTTCTTTTCTGCTTGTCTAGTGCATCTGCAATCGAGTCTCGAACGAAGCGGACAACCGCTTCGCGAGTCAGCAGAAATTCCTCTGCTGATTCATCCTTGTCAACAGCAGTGCGCTTCGTGTGCACTGCTGAAAAAACGTTGTCTTCACCAGTGAGGGCGTCATCGTCCTCACTTTGGCGGTCATTGGCGATGCTGAATATACCAGCATCGTCGTCATCGTCATCATCGACATCGATCCCATTGACATCGGCATCCATCACGTCGACACTATTGTCGACGGGTGATGAGCAAGAACCAGATCGGTTTTTGTTCGAGCGAGCCCCCCCCCTTATACTAGAGTCACACTCTAAGAAGGCGGGCAAACGTAAATGGAGTGAGCCATTTACGAAGAAAGTTGCATACGTTGTCGATGCATGCACCGAGTTGTTGATGGCGAATTCAGCCATCGGCAAGAATTTACCCAAACTCGTAAACGAGTGGACATACCCTCGAAGTATCTCTTCGAGAAAGCGGTTGACATGTTCCGTCTGACCATCTGTTTATGGATGGTCAAAAGTCGACATCTTCAAACGTGTTCCAAGTGAACGGAACACGGATTGCCAGAACTCCGCTGTAAAGCGGGCGTCCCTATCAGACACGAGTTCACGGGGTAACCCTTGAAGTCAGAAGATAGTTTTGATAAGGATACGAGCACAGTCCTGGGCTTTGATTGACTCCGGTACAGCTACAAGATGTACCATCTTTCTGAACCGCTTAAAAAACACAAGGATACCAGTATTCTTGTGAGCGGAAAACCCAAAGACGAAGTCCATCGATTCGGACTGCCAGAACTCTGCCGGAATCGGTAGAGGCTGCAAGGGTGCGCGGGATAAAGGACTAGGCTACACTTGCTGACAAACTTAGCAAGCGCGAATGTATTTGCGCACAAACTCATACTGGCGGGACCAGTAGAAGTCACGACTTACCGTGAGGTAAGTCTTTTCCCTACCTCTATGCCCACTTGTTGGGGCATCGTGACACTCATACACGATGCGCAATCGCAAATCATCATGAGGAACGACGACACGTGGCGTGTTGCCAGTGACTGCTGTATACTACAGCAGTCCATCAAGAATCGAATACCGCTCAGTTGAAGAGCGGTATTGAGACGTCAAGCTTTGCAAAGCTTGACTGCATGAATTGGATACATAATCCATAAACCGCAAAAGAGAATTACCTTCTGCGTATGCTTGTCTCACATCGTCGAGCAGATTAGAGGACGGGATCACCCCTTCTGATGGGTTAAGCAGTCGGCTCGAAATTGGGCCGGTGCGAAAGAGCATCAGCGACGACATTAAGTCGTACTGGTTATACTCGAAGGAGAAGTTGTACTCCGCAAAGAAATACAGCCACCTCGCCATTCGTTGCGAGAGGTGTGGACTGTTTACGGCCGTGCATAACGACGCATGGTCGGTATAAACGATGAAGGGTTTATCTCCTAAGCGAATTTTTTGGAACTTAGCCAGTGAGTATTTCATGGCAAGGGTTTCCTTTACATACACTGAATTATTACGCTCAGACGATTGCAGCTGGCGCGATTAATAACCGACGACGCGCTGAACGCCGTCTGAGTTGTACGGCATTAACGCGCAGCCGATCGCAAAATCGCTGGCGTCACAAACCACATGAAATGGTCTTTCCTGGTCTGCAGTCGCCAACAAAGGCAATTGTATCAACTGTTTCTTGATACCTTTAATAGAGTGCTGACACATGGCACTTCAATACCACCTCTCGTTTTTCTTTAACAGACGAGAGAGATGTACGGTCATCTCGGCGTAGTTGCGCGTATTTTTGCAAGTACGCCACCAAGCCAAGGAACTTTTGAAGTCCCTTGACGTCGACTGGCACATGTCAGCCGCTGATTGCCTTGATCTTTTCTGGGCCAGGAATTACACCGTATTTACACACGATGCAACCAAGAAGTGTTATTTCGTTCGCTGCGAATATACACTTCTTGAGGTTCGCGAACAACTTATGCTCTCGCATTAGTGCAAGAAATTTCCGGACGTGGATTGTATAAACCTCCACGTCCATCTTTCCTTCCATAGCCCGGCTATGGACGAAGTTATCGTCGAAGTAACTCGGTGCGAAATCGTGCACCGATCGCAAAAGATTTGTAACACATCTGTTAGACGTTGCGGGGGCGTTACTTAGCCCTGTGGCATCACTAGCCACTCCCAGAGCATACCACTGGGGGTGCTTGCTGCTGTGTACGGGATGTCCCGTTCACGCATGATGATCTGATAGAATCCATCCATCAAATCCATGGACGAAAAGATGGTACTTTTTGCCACACCATCGGTATCGGCGTTTGATACGGTACCGTTGCAGCGTTTAATTTGTTAAATGCATGCACTAACCGCCACCCTTATATGGCATTTCACGCACAGAAGGTCGGAGAGCTGTGTGGGGATGTTGATTCCCTTACATGACCAGCAGCTAATCGATCGGCAAAGAATTTGTCGATCGCTGTGACCTGTTCACGAGGCAGTAGCCACAGCTTCATTACACTGTATTTTGAACTGGGTTTCAGTTCGATCTCATGCCGAGTGCATTTTTCCTTGGGCAGCCCGCATGGCACGGATTCAGGGAAAACATCCTAAATTTAACTAAATCCTTGTACAAAGGATTTGCCTTCAAATACTCCCAAGATTAAGACGCGTATCGCTCGATCCGAGTCTTCTCATCGAGAAATCTCTCATCTATCGATAAGCTACTAATAACCCGTTCGTTCATAGTAAATACTTGTGCTGAATGAATAACGGCGATGTACTCGTCCTCTGTGACGAGTACGCAGATCTGCTTGATCTTGTCACTACGCAGATCTCGCAAGGATCTTTTAGATTCTAGCGTTGGCAACTCCGAATCTGACTTCGGAGGTGTAACCGGATCAAGTGAATATGCGCCTACATTTGATCTGTCGATCATTAAGACATTCACTGTCTGGGAAATTTTTCTGGAAAAACACATCCGCAGGTGGTTGAGGAAACACACCCTCAGCATAACTCTCTAGGGATTTATCACTCTCAGCAACGCTGGAACTTTCTTCCATTACGTGTTCTGACTGTAGGTGTACTACCACAGTCACGTCCTCTTCGATCGACTTTCCTTCATTCGTTCGGGCTTGCTCTACGATCAAATTTCTGATATTCGATCTCGTTTATAGTGTTGTTCATTTAAAATAACAAGCATATCTCTTTTTGGATGCACCCTTCTTGGTGTGCATCCGTGTTCCATTCCACTCGATCTCTTCGAGTGGTGAACCTTTGGCGCAGCCTGTGTCTCTACACAGGTGACGGAAGCTGGTTCCGCAGTGTAGTGGCCCTCTACACTGTGATCATGTGCAGTCATATTAACGACCGTACCACAATTGAGGCCATCGCACTCACTCGTAGTACATCCACACGCTTGTGGACTCTCCAAGACGTTCATCAGATGGAAATCCGATGAACAAACGGCAGGCATCTTCACGGATCGATGCTTCCAGCCGATCCGTGGCTGGTACTTTCTAAGCCATGGCAGAACGAGGATGACATCAAATTTGTCATTTAAATCCAGCACGATGCAGTTATCATCTTACTGCTTTCCTTCTAGCGTGCAGTGGATTCCCACTACACGTTTGTTCACTGTTACGGATGCGCCTGTAGCAAGGCACACCGTCATCCTCGTTGGAGGGAACTCTCGCTCAACATAGTTGAGTCTACTATCCTCTAGCGATTGACGTCGAACAAAACTTTTCGACGCCCCACAGTCGACTAGAGCGCGAAGTGGCATTCCATTAGTCACTTCGATCTTCAAATTGATGAGTGACACTACATCATTAGAGGCAGTAACACACATCGACTGTGTGTTGGGAGCAATCTTTTTCAAGAGTCTTGCAAATTCTCTTGACGTTGCTGGATCAGCAGGGTGCTCCGCCCCTACTGACCCTGACTTTTTTTGGCGGTCCGACTTGCTGTCGCGGTTCAGCGACATGGTCGGACCCGCGTCTTGGACCTTTCCTTGGACAACGGTGGTCATCACGTCGTGTGATTAGACCTGTTGCGGTGCTTGGGACACTACGCTCATAAGCTAAGTGCCCAATCTTCTGACAGCGATGTTATCTTGCCGTTCGCTTGTGACTTAGAGAGCAATAGTCTCGTCTCGATGTAACAAATGTCCATTGGTTAGGGAACTCCTGTTTCCTGTCGTCTCGTCGGGCGATAGTTTTACGAGTTAGCCTGAGACTTTCTCAGGCTGAATTCTTCTTGTTCCGCATACGCTATCACCTTTTTCCAGCGTATGGAAGTCCTCTCGGAACATGTAGGTCTTCATCGAATCGTTCAAAAGGCCGTAGATGAACACGTTAATGAGTGTGTGCTCATCAACAGGGTTTCCCGTGACGCTACTTGCAAGGTAGCGTAGGTGTTGTGCGTAATCGTTCACATCACTCTTACTTTTTTTGAGCATCAGGAAGGCAGAGCGTGATCTGAACTCGGCTCTTGGCGGTTCAAACATCTTTTTGAGCCGAGACTTCAAGGTTTTTAACGACTCAAACACGTTTGGGTCGTGAAGCTGGAGCCCTAAGGCCCAAGTCTTTGCTCGTCTTGTCAAATTTGACAGGGCGAAGGTGACTTGCATATCGTCACTCTCGATGTGACAGGCCCTGATGGCGTCGTCTAACTCGACGAACCATCTCAAAAGCGAATCTTCATGAGCAATATTGTACCTTGAGATATCAATCTTCAAGGTTTCGGGTCGACGCTCGTGCGCCGGCCTGCAAATCGACTGATGAGCGCCTTGCTGTTGTAGCAAGGCTTTATTATGTCTTATGACATCAAGTTCACATTGTAGGAACTTGTTGACAGCAGCATGTTGCTGGCCTCTGCTTAGAGAATCCAAAATGCCACTAATGGCGGGTTCGCCCATGAGCATGCTAATGCGGCCGACTATCTCCCATTCTGAGTCCATCAGATGGGATTGACCATCACGTGTGACGTGAAAGCTGTCGTCTTCTACGCCCAACTAAAAAGTGCTACCAGGTGTCACGGAGCACCCATTGCTTGAGGTGCCACGAAACTTCACATACACTCGTACGTGCAGAGAAAGCTAATCTACTTGAACGACTCGTTCAAGTAAAGATAATAAGAGAACAGTGTTTAATATAGTTAAGCTACCAATATAGCTTTAATCTTTATCTAGCTATATTAAACTACGCCGTCGTATGACAACAACCTGC